TTGTTGCAACTTGTTGACAATCATGTTAACAACTTGCAACGGTACTGATGGTTGAACAACTTGTTAACAATATTGTTCACGGGGTGCAGCACAACATTGTTCGCTCCTGTTTTGAACAATGCCGAACAACATGATCAATTTTTACCCGTGTACACGGCTAAAAGCGCACAGGTTGTTGCAAGTTGATATCGACAGGCGTGAACAATGTTGTGTGGCCAACTATGAACAAGTTGTCAACCATGTTGTTCCAAGTTGTTACAGTTGAACAATGTTGTAACAACATGTTGACAATACTGTTCATAGTGGGCCGCACAACCTTGTTCACGCCTGTCGATATCAACTTGCAACAAGTTGTTGATTTTCTCAATTTTTACGCGTGTACACGGCAAAAAACGCCGAGCCTGTTGCTCAACTGGACTGAACATTAACAATGTTTTGCTGGCCACGTTGTTCACACTTGTCAACAATATTGAACAATGTTGTTTAGCCTGAATCGGGTGTAACAATATTGTTCAATATTGTTGACAGCTATGAACAATGTGGCAGCAAAATATTGTTCAATCCTGTTTTCATCAGTATTGCATCAACCTGAGCGTTTTTACGCGTGTATATGACAATGAAAGACAGACTTGGAGCAAGTCTAATGCAACACACGCTCTTGTATCAAGATGGTATAAAGCTTTTCAATAATTTTAAAACAACTGTTCTGGAATCGATCAACCGTGAATATATCCACGACTTTGAACTTTGTCTATGGCTGCATGTAATCCAAAAGGGCAGTCTTTACACAAACCGGTCACGATTTAAACTCGTCTTCGGCGTGTGTGCAGACTTAAGATCTATCAATAGACTATTTAAATTTAAAAATAAACTATACATGTACTTATGGGGCGAAAAAAATGGCAGTAAATTTAAATAAACTCTGAAACGGTATCGTTAATTCGGTTAATATAGACCTTTTTGTAGTATAAATACGGTGCGTTTTGGCTTGTATTTTGTAGGCTTTGTATGAATTATCAAATAAGTGACAATTCTTTCAATAAGTGACAATTCAATTCAAGGAGAATTCAATTCAGTGACAATTCAATAAGTGACAATTTATATGAGCATATTGTTATTTTGAAACTGTATACTAATCATAAAAATACTGTATGAGCCTGTAATGTATTATATTACCGAAATCAGTAGAGTGTCTTTTCCGGAAGTTGAAAAGACAGTCAAAAGCCAGTAGAAACGTTCATGTTTTATGACGTCACGATGAAAGAATGTAGCGTGGAACTTGTATGTTATTTTACTTATTAGTAACTTTATTTAGTTTGACAAGTTGCCAATGCCTCGCCAAACACAAAACAAGCTTTTGAGCAAAGGGAGAAGTTCTAGGGTGAGGCGGTAAAACCGATGTTTTTTGAAAACCGAATTACTCGATGTTACTTTTGGAGAAACTCGCCGGAAAACCGAAAACAACGGGGGAAAACCGAAATCGAACCATACTTATACGGGTTTGTTGCAAATGAATCAACTTTGGCATTTACACACGAAAACTAAAGAGATTTTGTTTAAAATTTGATAACATCTTCAAAATACCTTACGTTTAATAGTATCATTCCACAATTTCGCGCGAGCTTGAGGTTCTTGAACGGATAAGCGGATCAAACGATGGTGAAGTTTGATTCGCTGGTAATAAAGGCGGACGTCTGCGAAGAAGGTTTAAGATTTCATATAGCGTGTTGTGTCTTTTTTAAGCCGTAGTTTCGATTTTCGAACATATTTTTTAAAAAAAACCCGGTTCACTCGGGTTTTTTTTGTTTTTTGGGTCGGTTTTCGGTTTTTTGTAGAAACCGTCTCACACTAGGGAGAACCTTTATTCGTGGGAAGGCACTTAAGTAAAGTTACTAATAAGTAAAATAACTTACAAGTTCCACGCTGCATTCCTTCACCGGCTTTTAACTGTCTTTTCAACTTCCGGAAAAGACACTCTACTGATTTCGGTAATATATGATTAATAAATAATATGAATCGGTTGGAAAAATAGTTTTCGTCATGCGCAATATCTTTTAAGTGCGTCACTTCCGTCACCATCTGTTGTGGTGCACGTTGAAACAAAATAAGTCAAAATTGTAGTCCCAAAAATTTCGGTTTAATAGCCGTTTCTTAAAATTTCCTTGTACAGGTATGCCAAGTGTATCATATCTAAACTGTACACAAAAAATAAAAGGTTTTGCTTCAGAAACACGCCAGTTATATCCATTCGAAATATTTCACGATCGGGGGTTTCATCCCTTTCTATTATTTGTACGTGTAAGCAAAGTCAATCGTTCTAGTATGAGCCCACGCTACTATGGTCAGACCTTGTAATACAATGTTTGAATTACATGAAGTAGTAGGCATGATATCGAAAAAAAATTTTAAATCAACATAATTTTCATCGTGATGAAACCTGGATGAAACTATGCGATATATAAGTTGATGACAATGTATTTTAAATAAACACAATCGTACTTTTCTGCCCCCTGTGTATTTTGCTCAACCTCGTCCATATTATTGATAATATTTTCTTAGCCTAGACTATTTACATGTATCTTTACAGCAAAAGTTGTGAATACCACTTATTAAGTACTAGGAAATGCACTACCAGTGGCAGACACTAGATGGGG